AAAACTGGGAGAAAATCAAGAAAGAGTACATTGGATATTTGATTCTAGAGAAGTAAATCAAAAGGAAAACACTCATCAAAAGGATGAGTTTAAATGAAAGTCCAGGGCAGGACCTAGCAGCATGTCTAGAGAGTAAACAATTTGGCTTGGAGTAAGAGGTTAGAGGGTTCTAAAATGAAGACCTTCACGAACAAAAATAGTAGGAAGACAGATTTCTTCAAAGTCTGAGCTCTGTAGAAAATTGCATTGCGTGACTTTTTGTTTGTTTTAAACAGGGGTGTGGGAGAAGAATTCAAGATTTACAAGAGGATTAAAGAAAACCACTTAAAGAAAGCAATAACTGCATTATGAAAAAATAAAATTATGCTTATTCTTCTCTGCCATTTAGTTCATCAGTGAATTATGACACTGAAAATACAAATGATGAACCATAACTTGCCATATCTAAGCGAATGGGGAAGGGACAGTAGAAATACGAGATAATTAAATTTTTATTGCCATATGTGAAAGTCAGTAATTAATCTCTAATGTCAATGACTTGAAGAATAGCAATATTCTGATATTATTTGGAAATGGGAATGTGAATACCAGAAGGCAGGAGAAAAATGTTTAAAGCAGTTACCTCAGAGTAGCAGATTATAGGGAAAACTTGAGAATGCCCAAGGGTACAAGGTCTGATGATGATGTTCCTGTATCTCTTCTTACTTCTATTTGACTTTTTTGACTTGGCTAACTATTGAACATTTTTTTAAAAAATTACATGAGAGAAAAGAAGTCTCAGAATAGCAAAGATCAAAGTGGGTTTGTGCTATTTATTTATCATCCATAATATGATATTCAGATACTGCTTTTCTGACTCTCCCTTTCATTTGTGTGCTTTCAGCCCTCTGCTTATAAAATGGATTAATGTTTTATATATCTGAGCAAAAACATACCCCCAATTTTCAGAGGCATTAAGGTTTTCTTCAAAAAGAAAAGGAAGCTGTACAACTCTGAGATTTTCAGTAACACAAGAAATAAGTATTAATGTATACCTCAAAACATAACGCTATCTAAAATGTTTCATGGTCAAGACCTCTGGATATACATATAGGTCTTTAGATGGGGTCTAGCCTTGTTGCAATCCTCCTGCTTCAGTTTCCCAGTTGGTGCCACAAACCCTGTCCATTTTGGGGGATGCAGTTTCCCCATGATGCCGAAGTTGACCTGGAGTTCTTAGTTCTCCCGCTCGGCCTTCCAGAGTAGATGGGATAACAGGCACACATTCCCAGCCTTTAGTTTAGACTAGAATGGAACCTAGAACTCCTGTTCGGTCCCAGTCTGTGGAAGACAGCATCTTGGCAGTGTGTACCACTGCAGATGGGCTCAGGACCTCTGGCTTTTAAAAGCACATTTAAATATCCAACAGAATTTTTCAATTGTGTAAGTGAAAAATATCACTTTCTAGAGTAATATAAATTTTATCTTTCTCTTGAAAGTCACAGCCCATCCTGAAATGACTTTCATGAGGCTAGTAGTTAGGAGGTATGGACTATTATTCATAACTATTTTCCAAAGAGGGACAATGTTTTTTTAAAAAAATAATTAAATGTGTAGTAAGGGTTACTGGTGTTTCAGGACAATAACTGGAATTTTGACTCAAAGTTTCCAGGAACAAATATTTTATTTTATTTAAAACGTCCTGCTAATTTCTTTATTTTTAAAAGAAATCTAAATTCGCACATTAGTAATGTATTAAAAAACTAGTAATAAGAGTAGAATAGCTTATTTTCCACTTCTTTCTGCTTATTTGCTATGCTGTCTTTTCAGCCAATCAATTATCTCATAGCTTCCTGTAATTCCCAGTTGTTTGTTTGTTTATTTGCTTGTTTTAATCTTGTCTTTACTACGAAAGTTTCTACAAAACTTCTTATTCTTCATTAAGGCATACTCTTTTTCTTCTCACTTTAAAAAAGAGGTACTAGAGCCAAGAGGGGTTTGGACTATGCCTGACATTCAAGATTTGTGGGCCAACATCTCTTGACATCAAGACAAGTGTGAATCTTTGATTTAAGAAAGAATAATGTAACTCAAGCCCCCAATTGATTTAAAATATAGTCAACATATTACAGTTAGAGGGAAAACACCTGTAATGACAAAAGATTTCTAGACTGGGTCTTTGTGGTGGACATCCATCCTCTATTTCCACAGATTGTTCTGTGATCAGTCCACAGAGAAGCCAGTCTCATACAGCGTCAGTCCTGAACTTGTATATAAGAAATCATGTTTGAAATAATCCCTAAGAAATTAATGGTCTAGAATAATTAACATACAAATTTAATTTTGATATCATTAGAGAATGGAAGAATTTCATTTTGACCAAAGGCTCTCTTCTGGGATTGTGTTAGCAGGAAACCCAGTCCACCTAAGCAATTCTGTCAGCATCACCTGCTCTCCTGATGTTTATATTTAGTAAAGTGCATTGCTATTCAACCAGTGAATCAAGCCAGATGGGTGGGAACAAGATTTACTTCTTTCCCCTTCCAACAGACCTCCAAATTCTGCTGATCATGCTTCCTTAAATACCCACTGAGCCCAACTTTGTTCTGTCTTTCCCACTGATATCTCTGTTGTATAACCCCCTAGTCCAACCTTTGACTAAAATGGCCTCAGCACAGTCCTCTGTCCCTCTCCCAGCTTAAAATGTTTTCTTGATTACCCCTTAGGACAAATTTTAATCCCTTAGTGTATTTAAGGAGATTTTTAAAGATTCATGGAAAATGTGTGTTATGAAAAAACTAATGCATGAATTTCAAAAAGTATGAAGTCATCAGGAAAGTCATGATTTATTTTCCAATACAAAAATGCATCATGACCTTCCTGATGATCCAATATTTGTGCCAAAATAAATTCATACTTTAATTCCACTGCTTCTGTTAACTTTTAAAAGTTCCCTCATATTTCAACAGCCTCTGTGGTTGATTCCATTCCCCATCACAGTTTTGTTTTTTTTTTTGAGAGGTTTTTCACTATAGGGTGAGTGCGCTTGCCAGACAGAGAGAGACATAGAGACAGAAAGCAAGAAATCACCCCCCCAGGGGGGATGGTCATGCTACAATCCCTTCTCCTCCATTCTCCTCTCAGGATCTTGGGCACGCACACGCACGCGCCTGGTGTGAGTTCTAAGCCACCAGGTCAGGGATGCGAGCCGTGGTCGACCACATGGGAGTCCAGTGACATAACCATTACGCTAACTGCTGGTTCCCCCCATCGCAGGTTTTCATATTTGTCTCAGTGACCCTCCAACTTTTCTCCTCTCATAGCTGTGCTAGAGTTCCAATCTCTTGACCTGCTTCCACTTGTACAGCCCCTGCTTCCTCCAACCTTGTCCCCTTCTGTTCAGACTGATCATCTCCTCTGCATCCTTCAAGTCTTTCTTCCAATGCTGATCACTCTGAGAATCCTTTTATAATCTCAAATATAAATTCATTTGATGTCACATCCACCATACATATGTGCCTAGTTCCAGGTTTGCTCTTATTTGCAAGCGTGAAGAGATGCCACTGGTTATAGAAAATTACCAATTTTTAAAATGAGAAAATGATATCATTTATGAAAATTGAGACACACTGAACTACCCATTTCAATTAAACATACTGAAGTAGTTAAGTGAACACTAATGGGAGGCCTAAAACTTGCTGTGACCTCAATGTTTTTATAATATTAAAAATAATCATGTGTGGAATTCTTTACCTATACCATTAGCTCAAAATGAGTAGAATGATTTCTGGTGAAATATTTCTGTGTGACAGAATTTAGCATATAGTTCTAAAATGTGCCAGAAGATATGCATTGATCTTTTTTATAATTGTATGAGTGACCAACAATATCAATTGGAGCAGAGATAGATTTTGAGATATCAATGGATGTAACTATTGACCAATTATTGTAAAAATTATATGTAAAAATTTACATACCACTTTATTTTCTCAAGGGTATTACATATACTACCTTAATAATTCCTATTTTTCTCTAAAAACAACTTCAAGAAGTAGGCTAAGGACATTCTCTTTGCATAGACACGAGGAGTTTAAATAGCTTGTTTAAAGCCACCACCTAGTAAGTCATTGACTCAGAATTAGAATCTAAGGGTTTAGACACTCAGATCAGAGCTCTTTGCTTTATATTCACCCTGCTTATGTGCAATAACTTTAAAATCTGCTTTAATACCTGTGGGAGTAACGATGCTCTCTTCAGATATTTCTATTTTAAAGAACAAATAATTCTATGAAGATTCCACACTAAAGTTCACCTATTTGAGAATTAATTTATCACATTATTTTTCCCTTGAGTCAGAGGGACTCCAAGATAATAAGAGATTGATAGCCAGTCACGAGTGGTTGAAAAAAGTAAAAGGCTGTGACAACAAAAAAGGGACCTAGTCACACAGAAGGCCCAGGTTCAGATCCTGGGTTCACCTGAACACCAGACCAGGTACACCTGCATGTGTACCCTCCCAACCTGGCTGGTTGGGAGGTTGGGGGTGGGTCATGGCAAGATACTATCTGAGGTATCTACCTCTTTCTATCTTTCTCTCAATGAATAAATAAATGCATAAAATATTTAAAAATAAGAATAAGAGATGGGGCATGGAAACTGCTCCTTTCCTCTTTCGCTCAGCACCTCAGTATAAGAAAACCTCTTTCTAGCCAAAAAAGCTTTACTCTAAAAGGTGGTTCAACTCAGTCATAAAAATGAATTAGTATCTTAATCTGTCTGTACCTGACAGTTACAGCATCTTATATTTAGATAGCATTGTACAATTTATAATATTCCTGCATATACATTATTCAAGTTGATCCTCGCAACAGATATGTGGTCTGCTAATTTATAGATGAGGACTCTAATTCTCAGGGGCTTAATGAACAAAACAGGGACAGAGTTGCATTCTTCAGTCTCTGAACCATTTGTCTCTCTCAACCCTCACATGCTCAAGAATACCATTCTCAGGGGATACTCACATTTCATCACACCTTGAATTTCATAAACAGGCTTGAGAACCAGAGTGCCACAGAAGTCTTTAGGGATTGGATTTGTTGAGTCCCACTTATTTGAAAAATCTGTAAGTTTCACAGTCCGTGTTCTGTTCTTGGGAATCTTCCATTCCACAATCTCCTTTAGGGTATAAATATGTTCATCTTCACACTCATAAAATTCTCCTTCTTGTGACAAAGGCAGAGTAAATGAGTGGTTTTGATGATTCCTTACTATTCCACAGTTCACCATTATTTCTCCATTGATCTCCTCTACTGAATTGAGCATGATCTGCTCACCCTGCTTTATAATGAGATGCTCTAGTTTTATATCCTTCTGATGATAGAAGCAAGGATGCCCTAGTCTACTTGGTCCAATATGAATGGTTCTTGTAATTTCTTCCATAGTAAGGTATGGAGTTTTATCAGCCACAATCTTAAAAAGACCTAAGAACAAAAATGCATGAGTTAAAGAGAGTCATTGCAATAAAAACTTTCATAAGAAAATCACAATGAGAGTAATAAAATGAGTATGGTGTTGATTTTAAATGTAATATTCCTCTTTAAAGATTAGAGATACTTTTTTGATTTTTTAAAATTTTGTTAAGAGGACACATGTTCTCTTTGTTAAAATACAGAGAAAGAGAAGAGAGAAAGTAATCCCCATGGGGAATGGTCTCACCACAATCCCTTCTCCCTTTCTCCCAACTTTTGAAATTTTGGTCATGTACACACACACTCTGGTGTGTTTCTCAAGCTGCTGGATCCAGGATTCAAACTGGCCAGGCAGCCATCAGGGATCTAGCTCCCCTAAAAACTTTACTACAGGTTGTTCCCAGAGGTACTTGTTTTAATCTCATATTTCTCTAGGTAAATTTTAATGTACTGTTTGTATTGTTATTGGATCATCAGCTCAGACAAGATAATTTAAGACAAAGGGAAATACATTGAAATAGAAAAGGCTTTATTCTTACAAATAAGAAATATGGATGAGATGATGGCTCTGTGTGAACTACCTATCTATGCTATCTCAAGGGAGACATTTGATCTCTCAGGATCACATTTTTTATTTTTAAAATGATCAGATCAGTTTTAGAACTGTCAAAATTAAAAAGTGTTCAAGAAGGGAACTGATTCATGGTCACATTATTTGATTAAAAAGTTACATACTTGAAACTGTATACATTAAAATAGTACGTTTTGGGGCCAGCAGGTGGCAGAGTGGCTAAGGACACTGGACTACCATGTGACCAACTGTGGTTTGAGTCCCTGAACCGGCGGCTTACTTTCTCTGCTTCTCTCTTTCTCTTCCTCTCCCTCTCTGTCAAATTAAAATAAACGAATAAGTAAAATTAAATAAATTATTTTGGGGGACCAGCAGTTAGCGTAATGGCTATGTCACTGAACTCCCATGTAGCCAACCGTGGTTTGAGTCCTGGACCCGGTGGCTTAAAACTCATGCCAGGCACATGTGCGTGCATGTCCAAGATCCCAAGAGAAGAATGGAGGAGAAGGGATTTCAGCTGGGGGGTGATTTCTCGCTTTCTGTCTCTCTGACTCTCTCTTTCTGGCAAGCGCACGCACCCTATAGCAAAAACCTCTCCAAATTTTTTTTTTAATTGTAAATTTTAGTTTATGTGTATTTTATCTACATTGTTCCAATTTGTATGAAATTCTCAGACACTAGATGCATAGTGATGCTCAAGAAAGGAAAATGACTGGTATTCCCCAAATTTCTCTGATTATGAAACTGTTGGAATGAACATGCCTTGATAAGTGACAAAATACTCTATCACAGTATATTAGTGCTGCTCTTAACCCTCTTTGGAACATCCCAGGTTATAAAGCAGTTCTAGACTGAAAACCCTTGATTACCTATCATTCTTTTTTTCTCATTAGTTCTCTAGTGTTTCCATTACAAAAGGTCACTACTGTCACTTTTTCGTTAATTTCAATTTCACTAACTTTACTATTGGAATTTTTGTCTTGAGTACTTTCAGGGTCATCACTACTACAATGAAGTTCTTCTGTTTCAGATACTGTTTTTTATAGTTGCATGTTTAAGTGGATCTCCTATTTAAATTATCCTGTTTTTATTTTATGGGAACATCTACTTTACATCACTTTCAGAAGCTTATTTATTGAATAGGTTTTAATAAATCTCAGGGAAAATAAAAACACAGGAAGTATTAGTTAATTATTTTCTTAATACAAAAGTAAATAAATGATAATATTATGTACTAGCATGCTTCAAGAAGGCAATATAATTAAGATTTAAAAAACTCTTACCAGAATGATGTCATTTGGAAAAACTTATTTTTGCTCAGACAAAAATAAAAACAATTTGGTTGTTTTTATATGTAAACTTCCTGAAAAGGTTTGAGAGATGTAATTCTGGTAAGGAATGGGGAAGGTAACATGTACAATATGTCCTGAAAGGCTTTAGAAATTGAAAAGTATTCACTCACTGAATGGTGTGCTTTAAGACAATAAGGAAAAGAAACACTTATTTTAAAGAAATGCCCTTCTTATTATGTCTTGTATTAAGGAAAATTTAATAAGATGGTATTCTTGAATTCGTCATAGTAAATATATTTGTGTGCGTGGGTGGGTACATGCACATGTCTTTAATCTCATTTGTCGTGTGTGAAGATTTATTTCAGTGAGTCCACAATCATTATCAGGGAATAGAAAATTCAGCAGTTTTTGTAAATTAATTTTTGTAAAAAATAGCTAGCTAGAATCTCATAAAAGGTAGAGACACACAGTTTTATTTCTATCTAGCTGTATTGATGGCATAAGTCACCAAAGAATTAATTCAGCACCATCTTTCTGAGGGAATAGAGTTCACCTAAGGTAATAACAGACCTAAAATATTATGAAGTAGAAAAAGCCTGAAACCCTAAGGGCCACCATTATTTCGAGTTAATCACATTCTTCAGAGCTGTCTTGTTGCATGTCTCTATAGCAAGAAAAATACATTTACAAATCTACGTGTTTTCCCTTAGAAGATGGTGAAATACACAATTTAGCATACTAACTGGCAGAATATAGCAAAAAAAAAAATCTGATTAACTTATCCCTTCACATACAATCCAGAATCTTTTCCAATAAAGTCATTTAATACCATATATTCTAGGGCAAGTATTTTTTAAAATATGATGTCATATGGAAACTTAAATTTCACAATGAAGGAAATTAAATACAAACTAAAGCAGCATCAAGACTGATCAGCTCTAAATTTGTCCATTTTTTTTTCCGTTTTTCAATATCCTTTTTTACAGAATAACAATTTTGTACGGAGGAAATGATGCTTTTTTATTTTGGGGAGGTAAAACAAAGTATATTTCAGGAACTGAGTAATCATGAGAGTTATTATAAAATAAGCCAATATGTAATCTTTATAAAATAAGTTAAGAAGAGAAAAAATAAATTTCTATTTCCATCTTGGATTTTATAGCTATTAAAATGGAATTTGTTGTTATTTAATATGAGAAATTGTTCAAAGCAGCATGTCCTTTAAGAAGTAAAAGTCATAAGAAATGCAATGAATCTAGCTGTTGAAAATTACTTATTAAGTGATAAAACACAACACTTAACCATCATACCATGACTGGCCTGGCTGTAATTTATCACTTTAAAGTTATCAAAATATGGATTTATATCTACTATCATTATAAACAAACTTGCCCTTTGATCTATAGGTAAAGATAAGTTAAATACATGCAAAGCTGTCCCACATGGGAGGAATCCAGGTTTGTAAGTCTGGAAATCTCCCTGAGTATTTTGGACACTTGCATGTCCACAGTCTGGGGTTGGCTTAGGCTGCAGGTGGATCACAGCATCAAGATCCTGGTAAAAGGGACCAGCAGGTGGCATAATGGTTACATCACTGGACTCCCACAAAGTCGATCGCGGTTTGAGTCCTGGACCTGGTGGCTTGAAACTCATGCCAGATGTGTGTGCTTGCATGACCAAAGTCCTGAGAGAAGAAATGATTGTGGTGTGGCCATTCCATAGAGGGTGATTTCTTGCTTTCTGTCACTCCATCTCTTCAGAGAGTGCATGTGTCTTAGAGCAAAAAAGTCTGTCTCTTAAAAAAAAAGACCCTGGTGTAGGTACTGTGGTGTCCATCTGTCTATCTTTCTCTTTTTGTTCCTCTCTCCCCACCTCTCTTGCACATGGAAGCAATAAATAACCTTTAAAAGTAATAATAGGGCTGGCTACATGGCCTGGTGCTTAACACAGCCTGATCCCACAGTCAACCCCACAGTTTGAGACCCAGCAGCTTGAGAAACACTGTGTGTGTGTGTGTGTGTGTGTGTGTGTGTGTGTGTTCCCAAAATTCAGAAGGGAGAGAGAGATAACAGAGAAGGGATTGTGGCATGACCATTCCCCGTGGTGGGTGCCTGTTCCTCTCACTCTCTCTGTATCTCTGTCTCTTTCTGACTGAAAAAAATAGTAATATGTGAATTTAATCTTTTAAATCTTTTCCCTGAATTTTAGGGCTTGAAGAGTTTATATTTTTAATGATTTTTCAATCACTTATAACCGTAACAACTTAAATTTGTTTAGAGATGTACAAGTTCCAACGTTTTTTCACATGCATCACATATTTTTACAATAGTATTTTGAGTCCAGTAAAAGAAACATGAAAATAGTCATGCTATTCATAGCTGACAGGCATGGTTCTAGAATTTTGGATCAGAGTTTTGTCATTCAAGTTTCGTATCATGCCACCAGGCCAGGCTGCCTCCTTCATTGTACCTAGGACTTGCAAGGACATTGCTTACAACATCTTTATTCTGGTTCATGAAGCATGTTGAGGTTCTCACCAACTGTCTTCCCTGTGCCTGGATTAGCCTTCCCAGGTCCCCCAGTATGAGAAGAACAATAATAATTTTCTGATTCACTACACAATTTATGCTCATCAGATTTTTTTTCTACCTTTATCTTTCATCCTCATGAATTTCCACCAAATAGAAAAGTTTCCTAAATTAAATTTTCCTTGGCCTAGCTGTGGTGGCACAGGCCATAGAAGCACTGCTACAAGATGCTGGAGGCCATTTGGAAAGGTTCCACATTGGTGTCCCAGGTCTACCAGGGCATACTGTGTGTGCCCATGAGCACAGCCATGAGCCTGGCTGGCAGCAGGGTTTAGGGGAGTAACTCTCACTAAACAAATAAACTGCTTAAAATATTTTCTGCAAAGCAACTGTGCTGAAAATAATACTAAGACAAACATAAGTGAGTGGCAACGGCACAATGGTAGAGCTGACATTTGTTCTCCCACATAAACATTATGAAGTAACGTAAACATTGGCTAAAATTTCTTTCCTTTTTAAATTTTTTTATTTGCCAAAGGGTACATGCACTTGCTGGAGACAGACAGAAAGAGAAAAAGGGAAAGTGAGAAGTTCTTATCAAGGGTGCCTCTCTCTTGCTCC